TAATCAAGCTCATTGTGAGATTATCTGATTTACCAACCAGAGCCCTTTTTAGTAAGATTTAATGCATTCGTACCACACTGTTGTAAGTTAAAGTGTTCCAGCCTAATAATTTTACCCTTGCTTGGTTGTTTTTTTTTCAGTGGTTTATTATATGCATTGAGATTTACTACTTCATGCGAATTAGTCTTATAATCGTCTTTGGGTCTTGAGACTCCCTCGTGCTTTTCGCCCAAAAGCATTCGTTTCCCTTGTTTGAGGAATCAGATTCGTTATTACTGATAAGTATCCAGTTATGTTTGCGACTTCCTACACTTTTGTGAAATTGTAGACAACTCAACTAGTCTGTTGGATCCGGATCCGATGCTTTACTCATTCAGCAGATTATTCATAGATGGGGTCAAAGTCAATTTCACTCTAACCGTTTCCCACCGCTTGCAGCATTTCCTTGAATTGCTTGCTGAGGGCTGCAAAAACTACAAGACTTGCTCTGACTGGGCCTCTCTTGATGGTTGGTTCTCCTATTTTGGATAAATTAAGTTAACCAAACCATTTCGCCTCCTTACCAACACCTTCGGCGTGTGGTTATCAGTTTCGTAGAAAGTTTCTGGCTTTACTTTCCAGCTGCGAGACTTGTGCTAATGTTGTTCAGTTTTCGCTTTCCTTTACCTTCTCTTGAATAAGTCGGATTGTTTTGTGGCAATTTCATTAGATTACTTATAACGCCGAACCTCTACTAGGCGTTCCTTTCAAAAACACTTGTCATCGCTTTTATTTTTCTAGTTTTGCCTCAACAGGAACCAGTGGATAGTTGGATACTTCAGGAGACAATGGTGCGGCTAAGAAACTTTACTCCGATTAAAATTAGACGTGCCCAAGTCATGTACTTTTGTGTTGAAGTTTTTCCTTCAACTCACGATCAGCGTGTAAGTGTCTTCTAAGCATGGCGACGTCTTTCGAATCGTTTGATGTTTTCGGTAAACCTTTATCAGTGCTAATACTGTCTTAATTTCGATCGAATGGACCACAACAAATTTCTGCTCCTTATAGTGCATTCTCATTTGGTTTATGTGATCAGCTTTGCTATCCCCATCGCTTGCGACAAAAGTAGGAATCTAGACCTTTCTTTACTTCTCATTTGTTTATAGGTGGCTAATCGTTTCGTTCCTTTGAGAATTGAGACAAGTGGCATAGACGCGTTCGTCTCTGCTCCTCTGAATCCGGTGCAACTGGTCTTCACAATGACCCATCTTTATCCCACATCTGGTGTACTGACGGATGTGAAATCGTCCTTCTATCAAAGCCTTTTGCGCGATAACACTCTTGATTGCCAACAGTGGAGTAGGAGAGAACAAATTTCAGATTGCTATGGCATTTATCATTCGACTCGTGAGGAACAGAAGGATAGTGATGTGAAGAAAGGTGGCTTGTTTTTCGGCTTTGGCGACGAAAATCCAATTACAAAGTCGCTTCAAATTTACCTCCTCAACTGCTGCTATACCCATCAGCTGGTCAAAATATCCAAAGTGTCCATTTATTTAGGTCAGGATGTACTACTTTCACCCGTATCCGTCACATTGGCCCAAAGAAACTTGCTATTCTTGGAATCCTGGCCCAAGCATCTGTCAAATGATCTTGTGACTACGGATAGCTATATCAAATTGCATTCACTTATTCAACTAAACTTGAGTTCCTTCGCTATGAGAAGCCTCTCCATCCATGGATTTTATATAGTCTCTCACATATGCGCACTTACTACAGCTCTTTCGCATTATCTTTACGGACAGGTGTGGTCAGAAGTGAGTCAATACAGCTGTGAGCTAAGCGAGGATGGACTTGGTAACTTCTTTGGTCAAACAGCCGAGGGTTAGTAATCGTCGTTTCGCAATATTCAGTCAGTGACGTATCTTTCCATGTGTTCTTCTGTTCTTAGGTGAAATGCCCCTTTGTCTCACCTTCAGTGC